CTAAAGGCTCTGTATGTTAATCCATAGACCTCCTAAATCTGTGTCTGATAGTTTCCTCAGGGCTGCACAAAAGGTAGAGCAGGTCATCTGCTAATTGAAAGGTTGGTGGTTCGAGCCCTTGCTGCTCCAGTCTGCACGGCAGTGTGCCTTTGGGGAAGATACTGAACCCCAGTTTGCTCAGACAGACTTTGGGATTTATTACATGCAGAGGGTATAAATTCAAATACTTGACATGTTGTGGCTTCTCTGTTCCTCGTCTCTTAGACATTGACGGCTTGGGCAGCAGTGCAATCGGAGGTCAGCTGATCAGGAGAGCGTCGAGCCACGCGCCGCTCGGCTGTGAAAAGCCGTGCAGTGACGCCGTGATGGCAGGTCAGTAGCACTTACTGAGAACGTAGTTAACATTTAATTCTCCTCAGTCAGCAGCTCTTCATTCACAGGGTTTTCATGTTTGGATTATATTTCAGGGGAGCTTTACTCGAGTTCGCTGAGCCTGTAATTGCTACTAAAGTGCTGCGCTGGTAATCATTAGAAACCACAACATTAGCAGAAGTATCTCAGAGCAGAGCTGCATGGTCAAGACATGCAGGTTTTTTAAAAATGTTGTATTTACTGGTGCAAAACATAACAGATGAACATTTGTAAGTTTCATGTCCTGCTGCAGAGTAGGTCTGCAGGAACGTTGACAGGAAACCTGCAGGTTTTAAATATAATCATGCTTCAGTGATGTTGTGTGTTTGGATTTGACCTTCTGTAACTGAAAGAGCAAGAAGCTGCATTGCAAACGAAAGATGAGACAAGCTGGGGAAAAGCTGGGTAGAAAGAGGGCAGTGAGCACCTGTGCTGTTTCCTTCAGGATTAAGCCCGACTCTAACTGGCTGACTCACCCCTGACATTTATGCTCATCTTGTGTGTTTTGTGTGTGTCACCATTTAAAAACCCGACCCTTGTTTTTCAGGAGCTGTGTTCTCACGCTTCATCCTCACCGGTGTTTGGAAAAACCTGATCGATGTTCTGTCCACACCGCTGACCGGTCGCATGGCGGGCAGCTCCAAGGGCCTGGCCTTCATCCTGGGGGCAGAGGGGGTCAAAGAGCAGAGCCAGAGGGAGAGAGACACCATCTGCCTGAGTTTAGACGGCCTGCGTAAAGCTGCTGCGCTCAGCTGCGCCCTGGGTGTGTGAAGCATGTTTCATGTATTAATAAGACAAATGCATATCATCTCTCATCCCTGTGGGGGAGGATTTGTGCTCCCTCCCTATAGCACAGGCAAAGGTCAGGATTATTCACTAGACATCTGTCCTGCAGCTGGAGCAGATTCTAGGTACAGTAATTTTTATTAGCAGCCACTCAGCAC